GCTAAACAAACCAGCTGACATCATTTCTGATTTCATCTTCCTGTCAGCTTTCTCCCAGAGCCTGGCCAGGGCTCAAGGAGGATTCAAGGGAGTTGTCTCTGATCCTATACCACCTAATAAAGCCAGATGTGGCCCTGTCCTGTTTCTAGATACAGAGAAGTGAACATGTTTTGCTAATAAATGAACACATATAACAATACTTTGTTAATGAGCAACTATATTTAACATTTAGTTGGAAAGTTCATCTAGAGGTCAGCTTTGGCTTGGGCCTGTTGTTCAGGCCTTGGTACTTCACTGACCCAGAGCGCAGGGACCTAAATTCATTCGCACAAAGGGCAGTGGAATTAATGCATAGACAAGATGATCCTTCTGAGATGAGAGTTGCTAATGAAACATATTCCTGGTGTTTCAAACTCATTTGTGTGTAATATTTTATACAGCATAGCATGTCTTTAAAATAGATTTTTTGAGTTATAAGTTGTGAATGAGCTAGCACAAATACCCACTTTAGTGATAACTTCCAATGTTTCTGAAGTACTGCTAAGGTAAATTAGATATTGATTTCTGACAAAATGGAAGATTTGTCTCATTGCTGAATTCTGAACCCTACATATTATTAAATAAGGATTTGATAGCTGATGCTAAAACTTATTGTTCTGTTTGACATATCCAGAGTCCTAAACTGAAAGATGCCACTGCACAAATGCTCAGTTTAAAAACAAACAAAAACAACAACAAACTGTTTTCCCAGTCAGCTCTGCTCTGCTGGAGCCATGAGTGATGACTCTGAAGTGTTTCCTTTTTGCCAAATCATTTTCTTGGGGTGTCAGGTTATTTCTGCCACAAGCTCAAATTGATGACAGCCGTGAGTGGCACTGTCTGTGTTCACACACACACAGGTGACTCCTCACTGGCTGACATTGTTCCCTTGCTGCATGGCTGGGACTGAGAGCAGCACATTGAACTCATTCTGACTGGCTATCTGTTATCTGCAAATCTCATGTGTTAAACCAGGCTTGCTGATTAAGCAAGAGCTATTTCCAAACAAAGAACTTCAAAAAAACAATTACTGGCAGTTTAGCACAAACAATTTAAAAATTCAATATGTAGCAAAAATAAATCTTTTTCTTCATCCTTTAGTATTTAACTTCTCTTTTAACATCAAAGTTATAAACCCTGTGTCAGAATATGTGATGAGATTCTGCTGAAAGTCATTAGCAATGGTGTAACAATACTAAAATTATTTATGTTGAGCAACATAAAGTTAAATGAGCTAGACCTTGGGTTCAAAGAGAAGATGAGTTTTTATGTAAATTAAGACAGATTTTTACTGGCCACTAATCAAGTGTTTACCTGTTTCCATTAAAACTACATTCAGTTTAATCAGCATGCCTTTTAATGCATGCATTTCTCCCCAAACAAGGAGCATATTTGTCATGAATATTTAAATTGGATTTTAAGTCCATGAAAGCTTCATTTAAATAAAAAGTGAGGTGGTTTTCTCAGGGTTGAAAGTTAGCATCCTCAGATCCTATTCAAAAATTGTAAACAAGTTTTCAAATTAGTGGTCTCCAAAGACATCTTCTTAGCATTCGGGATTAAATGTCTTAATTGCAAAAGATTAAATGTAACTACAGTTAATGGAATGCTATCTGTACATAGATACAAAGGTTTTGTTTCTTGTAACAAAAGAGAACTATTACTGAATAATTCAGAAATGGGCAGAATAGAGTATTTTAAATATAAAACACGTAGATATAACTGCACCTTATTCAAATCTCTGTGGAAAAAAGGCCTGTGAATGTTGATTTCTATGAATATATATTGTATGTACTCAAACAGAAGTGAAGCATTTCATGCTGTAAAGATAAAGCAGAATACAAGGAAGCAGGGAGTTGACAAATGATGAACAAGTAAATAATTTTGTTCTCTAGCAATTTAGAGCACAACCTCTCCTAATTTGTCCTGTCATTTCACAGGAAGTGAGACAGACCACCAGCAGCTCAGCTTCCTGTGAGTAGCTGATGTTTTATGGTGTTTGAAGTCCAGCCCTAATAAAACCCTGGTTGTGTTGAAGTTGATTCGACACTCATCACGGACTGGAATAAAGGCAGCCAGACACCCCTATTACTCCAAAAACAGAGCTATGTTTTCTTTGACCTTCAAGGGCTACCTCAGATAAGCCAGCAGCAGTGGAGCTGTACCGGAGGTGTAGTACTGCTCATGATCCCTTTACACAAGCCCACGTGAGGCAGGCTGTCAGCAGGCTGGTTATCACTGCCCGTCACTGTCACCGGGGCTTGGCAGGGCTCTTTAGTCACTGAGCCAGTTAAGTGTTGCTGAAAGATGAAGGGCTGGATATAAATGATGTAAATGATCGTGAATGGATGCACTGTACTGTGATACCGGCTGTCACTCAGACTCACAGAGTGTAGAGAATGTTATTCCTTGCTGGAGGAGCTCGGTCTCAGCAGTTTGAGGGGATTTCTGTTGTACAGAATGAATCCTAACAGACACGATGAACTGCAAAGACGTTTCCTGGGGAGAAAATAGCAAACATGGGCAGGGATAAATGTTGACAGAGGTCGTTCACACTACATGCAAGTGAAAGCCTGGGAATTGAAGGCAGAATTCCCTAAGGCTTTATTGTAACCAGGGTTTCTCTCTTGATTCCTAACCAGGACCCTTGCTACTTCCAAGTTCTTACGGCTGCTCTCCCCTGCCTTGCCTTTCAGCAGTTTTGGTTTGATAAACAACCTCGACATTGTTTGTTAAACTGATTTCAAGTGTTTTGATCAAGACTTGGCTTAACAAAGTGTAGAATGTAGTCCCCTTTCTGTTGAAATGCTAGCTCTATAAGATGTGTAATAATTGCCTTTATTCAATAATTATATTACCTCACATTTTGATAGGTAATTTCTCTTGAAAATAATTTTACCTGTGAGTCATCATTGGCCAAAACTGAACTTATTTCCTCCAGTGGCAAGAATGATGGTGTAAGAATCAGACAGGAATGGCAATGGAGAGGCAGGTATGTTCTTGTATTCCTACTCCTGAATACAATCACTGGTCTCCAGCTTTTGACTCATGTGTCTCCCACAAAAAGAAACAATAAACTTAGGTTCATTACTTGTTACTTTAACAAGTAGTTCCCAAAATACTTAGCATATATTTAAGAAACAGAATATCAGGTTTTGCCTCAATTTTTATTTTTACTTTTTAAAACAAACCAGAAACTACTGTGGAAAATAGCTCTCGTGTGTCAGAGAACCCCAGCAAGTTAAAATGCAGAGAAAAGGAATAGACTCAAAACTATTTTTAATCTTGAGAAAAGGAACATTAGATTAGTTTTGTGAACCCTGTGACTGCCTCGCTGGAGTTGTGAGGCGAGGACGAGGAGCCTAATGCAGTCACAACTCGCCATCTCGCGGCATGTTTGTGCATTACCACGGTTACAATTCCGACAATCAATGAAGGACTTTTACTTTCAAGGAAGTGTAGAACAGCGAGTGTAGGCCCCCATAAAGGCATCTAGCCTCCCATTAGATAGTTAAAAACCTAAGGGGGGCAGGTATCCATTGTCGATTTGTCAATCACGGCGTCTTTAATTAGCCTCGAATGATGCATGGACGAGCCTGGCGGGTCCTCCCCAACTCAGCGGCACCGCGTGGCCCGTGCTGCCTCCGGGGCTCGGCCGGTGGGGAACGGACACACGGACTGACGGACACACGGACTAACGGACATGGACTAACGGACACACGGACTAAAGGACACACGGACTGACGGACACACGGTCTCGGCGCTCCGGCAGCACCGCGGACTCTAGTGCCCTGCTGCCGCTGTTACTCTCCCCTTCCCTCCCGTCCCTCTGCCAGGGTCCCTGTCCCTCTCGCGGTCTCCCGCTCCACCCGCCGCGGTGCCGCCTCCGCCCGGCTCTGGCGGCGCTGCTGGGTGGGCACCGGTGGAGCTGATGCCATCTGGAGCTGTCCCACGCCTGCCTCCACCTGGCTCGCCGTGGCTCCACGGGGCACACAAGTGAGCTGCGGACACTGCCGCGCCTCCCGGGGGGCCCGGCCCGAGCTCCGCCGCTCGGCAGCCCGGCCGCCGGCACCCGATGGAGAAGGCGGGCCCTGGAGCTGGGCCGAACGCTGACAGACGCGTCTGGCCCGCAGGGAAGGCGAAGGAGGCCCTGCAGGAGCAGGACGGGTGGGCTCCCTACTGGGAAGCGGCTGCTTCGGGAGCACCTGCTCGGGGACCCCCGGTGAGCGGCGGGGCCGGAGGAGGAGAAGGGCACAGGAGGACAGGGCGGGCGGTGAGCTCACACCTGCTTCGGGAGCACCTGCTCGGGGACCCCCGGTGAGCGGCGGGGCCGGAGGGACGAGAAGGGCACAGGAGGACAGGACGGGCGGTGAGCTCACAACGATGCCTCTCTTGGCTCGCAGGTGGCCACCAAAATGTGTATCCCGGGATCACATGCCCCTGCCAACAGCCTCCAGCACCCCCCTGTGCCGGGACGGGCCTGGGCTGCGGGGGGCCAGCACGACGGAAACACCCGTGGGGCCAGGAAAGCTCGGGGGGCTCAGAACCGCGCAAAGGACGCTTGGGTTGGCAGGGACGGAGCGGCCTCAGCTCCTCCCCTGCCCTTTTTTGACTCGGCTTATGATTCAAGGTTTTGGCCGAAGTGGGAGGGGATAAAGGCACAGGTTTTCTCGAGCTTTTCCCTTGCATGGAACAGTTGGGCCTGCCCCAGGCCCCTTCTGCCTTCTTCCAGCACCAGGGGCATTTTTCACCATCCAGAATTTGTAAACAAGAATCAGATGCACTTGAGAAGCCTACAAGGGACTCCCTCCATCCCGGCTCTGCAGATGCCGAGGCTGCTCTGGGCTCTGCCAGGGCTCTGCTGGGGCTCAGCTCTGAGCATGGCTGGGCCCACTCTCCCCTCACATTGCTCCGGTCAGCTGAATCACAGGGTGATAAAGAAGGGATACTTCAAGGGAGTTAAGGTTTAACAGAGTTTTTATTCAAAAAATACAAGGATAAAAATTAACAACCTGAATATACAACAGAAGAAAGGACAGTTTACAATTATGCCACCAGCAACTTTGCTTTGACCAGCAAGGAGTGCAGTGCAGACAAACTCCAGACAAAGGGTCCAAGGCAAAGTTGAGAACAGCGAACAGAATCAAAAGAAAAAGTGACAGCACAATAGTATGAAAGAGTACTAGAAGAGCAGAAGTGTAGAGATACTGACAGGCAGTTCATTTAAGAGGCTCTCTCTTCTCCAGGGCATAAAAACAACAGAGAAACAAAGCTCTGAGCATGAAGCCATTCCTGTTCTCACCATCTCTTTGAAAAACCATCACGTCCAAGCCATGGGCAGCACAAGCTGGAGCCCTCACCTCACAGCTGCCATCCCTCCTTCAGCCAGACATGTCTGTCTAACAACATCCTGTGAAGTTCCTCCACCCATGTACTCCATCACCAACGAGAGATCTTCATCAACAAGGCAGCTGAAAGAAGAAGACAATGGCATGGAGATGAATTACCTTACAGCTAAATTACCTTATGGAAAAGACTGCACAGGAGTTTTGCTTCCAGGTCACTTGTAAATAAACAGAGTAAAATGGAGAGACATTCCTGTAGCTACACTGTCCTTGGAATCTGCACAGTCTAAAGGAGGAGACATCTGTGAAAAAGGAGATGCCTTTTTCATGGCAAGCATGTGAAAAATGTGGTTTAGGAACCCTCAAGATCAGTCTGGAACTACAACATTTGCCACCAGCCGGTTCACCACCTTAACTCAGCAATTCCACCAGTAACTCCCCAACTCTCAGCGTTATCCACGGGAGGAGGCCATGTGCCACTTAACACAGAAGTGGTCAACTGCCAGGAAAACACTGCTTAAAGAACCTTCAGAAACAGGCAAGACAATTGAAAAATGGGCAAAATAGGTGTTTCTGTAAACAAGAATCTGGTCTTCCTGGTATCCACAGCAAGAGAAAGCAGTAGGAGAGAAGGCAGGCTGGGGCCAGGGCTGAGGAGGGAGCAAGGGAGGGCAGGCCCCAGCAGCAGCAGCCCAGCGTGATGCAGTTACTTTTATACACCCCAACCCCTCCCAAAGTCTGCCCATGGACAGGAGACCATTGCTCCAGTTCAAACTTTCTGGGCTGCCCATTGTGGAGACATTTTCACTATTTGGCTGGAGAAGCCCCTCCACAGCCTCTCCTACTGAGTGCCCCATATGAGAGGTTGCCAGGCAAAGTTCCCCCAGAAACCAGGCTTTCCTCCATCTTCTCCTGGCTACCTCCAGGACACAGCACACATGCAAGCCCTCCCCCACGTGCCTCTGACAACCACTGTTGTCAGGCATAGCAAAACTGAATTGGCTCCTCACAGCTGTTCATTATTTATTTTCTTCATGGCCACCTAAAAGGACATTGAAGACCATTAACTGGAGAAGGCTGTGGCATGAGACCACAACAAACATGCAACAAGTCTTTCTGGAGCAATGGAGCCAGGTTGTGCCAAACTGCCTTGGGATGGGACACCAGAGCTCAGTCAGGGGTTCTGACTCCCCCCTTAGGGGCCACTTACAGGACACATGGCCAGAGACATTTGGCCTTGGAAGCTCTGGAGAAATGGTCTCTCATCCATTACCCACAAAGCTCTAATGACATTTTCTGCACCTACATTCTCAAAGGGCCTTACTTTATCACCACTATTATTAATATTCACACACATTTTGCAAGCAGGAAGCAATTCTGGTCCTGTGAAAATACAGCAAAACTACTGGGAAGGGGTTTGGTCATTATTTCAAGTGCCACTGCTGCTGTTTGGAATTGCATAAGAGAGCAAACATGCAGCATACATTTCTAATATGATCACTGTCATGGGCTGTCGCCGACACCAGACCTAAACACAACTGTTTGTTGGTTAAGGACAGAGCTTTGCTCTTGATATATGTCTTCTCATTTATCTCTCCCTCTGTGAATTTGCTGCAGGAGGACCAAAACCCAAAACTGATCCCAAGCAAGGTCTCTCCTTAATTAGTTCTTGCAGTATCCTTTGAGGATGAAATGCAGGATGGAAAAAATGCTTAACAGTGTTACTGTTCTAACCTGGGACTGAGATAAACTGGGCCTCAATAATGGCAGCCTCCACCAGCTGATGCATTAACATTTTTAGAGATTAAGACCATACCAGCATGTCCTGCTCTGAAAGATATCACTGCCAAGAAGTCACTGACTTGAACTTACCCTTGGCCAACTGGCTCAACTTCAGTGTGTTTTTTGGCAGGCTCCCCCCACGCTCACAGTGTTTCCTGAAAAAAACAACAGGAAAGGCGGTCACTCCAAGATGGAGATCCCGCCTTGCAGCAGAGCCAAAATGCAGCTGCACTCTCTGGGATTCTGAGCCCCTTGTACTCAGGTGGGCAAGAGCAATACAGGACTCTGTGACATTCAGCTGCAGAGGAGCACTGAGCACAGCTGATGCTCAGACACACACCCCACGCTCTGCTCTGGCAGACAAGATGTGCTCAGCTGCATCAGGCACCTCTCTCCTCTCCGCTCTGGCTGCGAGGCTGTGCTGCTGTCAGAATGCTCAGCCCATGATGCCTCAACAGAGGGAGGTTCAATGTCCTCTTCCTAAAAAGGCAGTGCCTCACCATCCTCTTCCCAAACAGCGGGATGTTCATGGTGATCTTCCCACGCAGAGAGATGTTGTTGCTCCCCTTCCCCCATGGTGTGATGTTTGCTGTCCTCTTCCCACTCCACTGGATGTTCCCCGTCCTGGTCCCAAGCTGCTGGCTGTCTGCCCTCCTCTTCCCACACTGTGAGATCTTTGCTCTCCTTCTTCCTGTGCCACAGGATGTTCCCACTCCTCATCCCACACTGCAAGACATTCCCTGTCCTCGATCCACACTGCTGGAGCTCAGCTGTCATCTTCCAGAACAGTGGGAAATTCACCACTATCTTCAAGTTCACCATCGTCTCCTAGAACAGAGGGAAGTTCACTGAACAGTGGGAAATTCACCACTATCTTCAAGTTTCACCGTCATCTCCTAGAACAGAGGGAAGTTCACATTGTTCCTCCTCCCCAGCCTTCTTGTCTTTCTGCTCTTTGGAGGCAGACAGAGCTAGAGGAGCCCCTGATGCAGCTTCTGTGCTTTGTGGACAGACAGTAGCGTGAGGGACAGGCAGTTGTATCACATTTATGGACTTATTTATCCTCAGCTACACATCCAGCTGCACTAAGGAGAAATAGCATTCTGGGGTGTTCAAACTAACAGTAGGCTAAAGTAGACATTGCCACTTATGCTTGTGAACTAGATTCTCCACTGTGGCTAAAACCATCATGCAATCTTCAGTCTGCAAAAGCATTCTGGCAGCTGTTCAAAAGCTCTTCAACAGAAGAGGGGAAAACAGCCAGGGATCCTTCAGCTTCTGCTGCTGCAAAGACACTGACAGGGACTTTGGGTCAGCCCACCAGGCTGGCACTCGGTTGCAACACACCAAAGGTTCCTTTCCACTCACGAAAGGAGGAGCTTCTCGTTAGCCACGCCTGGGGTGCCCTGCAACAAGAGACGTAAAATTAACCAGATGCTATCAGGAAAACAAACTGTTCGTGCTGGAAAACAAGGCAGTCCCGAGAGAGCGTTCTGCTTTCACAATATCCCACTAGGAGTCCTTTCATTGAAAGAGCTTCTGCTCTTGCCCTGAAAAAACGATCATTCCCTGGATTCCCAACAAGAAAATAAGACCAACCTGTATAAACACTGCTGCCTGCTGCCCTTGGTTGAGGTTCCAGCCACAGAGGGTGGAGGGTGAATAAACTCAGACTGCTGTTGGGCCAAGTGTGTAGGATGATTTTGTCTGCAGACATGGAGCAGGAGGCACAGTGGCTCTGCAGCTGGCAAGAGTGAAGCAGTGTAGGGGACCTTTGGAATTACAGATAAATAGAAAGCAAAAAACAATACTGGAAGAATTCTCCACCAAGTGCTGTGAAATGCAATGATACAAGTGGCTAAAGACATAGGTCACTGGTACTGTGGGTTCAGTACAGTGACCAACAGGGCCACACAGCTATGCTGGTGTCCTCCCTGCCATGGATGCACTGTGGAGATTTTCTTCTAACCCTGTGCAGTTGCTCCTTCATTCTTAAACTTCTCAGACACCATTGGAGATGTTACTCTGGAGGTGGTGTTGCCTGGCCTGAAAGAGAGCAGAAGTTTTCCAGGTCACAGAGCTGCCCCTTCACAGTGGCCCCAGCCTGTGTGCAGCCACCCCGGCTGGGAGCTCGGCCAAAGGCAGCTGCTGTCACTCCCCAGGTGGGGAACTGCCAGGCCACCTGTCCTCACAGGACAGTGCACAGGAACTGTCAGACACTGGATGAGCAGAGGCCACATGTGCCCCAGGGATGGCTCAGGAAGCAGCTGAACTGTGTCACATGAATACCCTCCCCAAAGGACAGGCAAGCCCTGTGCAGCAGTTCACCCTGTGCACAACAGCGGGGATAATTCTGTTAGAGACAATTATTCTGTGGGTTTAGTACTGTGGCATAATGGGGTATTTTATGCCTGTTGGGCTGAGCTCACACTGTGCCCTCTCACAGTACTTTTTTTGTGTGATGCTTATGCATTTTGGCTGCTTGTGAATTCAGTGCAAAGCCTGTTATATCTCCTGCTACATAAAAAGTCACCCAGCACTGCAAGGGAATCAAAATAGGAAAAAAAGCAGTTTTTATCACCTAAGCCCTCAATATAAAGAGTGGTTAAAAGATCATAAGGTACAGATTGCTAAAAAATGTTTCTTTGGAGAACAGAATCAAGGTGCAATCTGAACAGCAAAAGGATATTTCCCACTCAGCTGTTCTTTCAGGACTGAATGGCTCCATCCCTTTGCAACCTGACTGAAGAAGTGCTCGGGCTTTCCTAGTGAGTGTGCTGTCTTCTGTCCATATTCACAGTCAGGAGGTAACTGAAATCAGGGATACTGCCATTTGTGTTTCTTGTTCAACTTTTTAACTTCTGTGACATACAGATTATTTGCAGGAAGGGGTGATGTCTCCTACAGAGTTCATTAACTGGGGTGTTGGAGTGCATGTGTTTAATTTTGAACATACCCAGAGCCAGGACTGCTCTGATAATTTTGCCAGTAACATTCAAGGCATAAGAGACCACAGCAAAGATTTTACACAATACCTACTGAAAACTTCACACTGCTTTGAAGCCAGCTTTTAAAGCAGTAAACTGCCTGTAGGTGGGCACCAATGGGGACCAGTTTCCCCCAAAGCACCAGGCCATGCAGTGTCACACAGAAGCTGAACTTGCACCAAAGAGCTGTTGAAGGAAAGGAAATAACCAGAGGTGACATTTGACAAGTTAAGTTTTTTATTCAGTGCACTGGACTCATACATCGCTGCTTCATCAACTAACAACATTTCACACATTCCTATAAAACCAATGCCAAGTCCAGTCTCTTGTTAAAGATGCTCAGTGTAAAAAGTAAAGCAGTCTATCAAATATTTCCTGTTATAAGTATAGCTTAGAGCCCATTAACAGGCTGTGTCCAGCACGTTCAGTGCTGGGTTCCAGCAGTGGTTGGAGAATGGAGCAGTTACTCAGGGTTGATGCAGGGCTTCATTAACAAATGTCTAAACCCAGCTCATTAACATCTCACCCAATGTTTATCAGAGTGCTGCTGCTGGTTTGATTATGCTGCTGCTTTGAGCATGGGTGGAGCTGCAACTACAAAAACCCTAATGCAGAACTACTCAGCACTGGAAAATGTGATCTGGGCTGGGGCAGCCTGTCTTGCTCCGTGCTGAGGACAGTTACTCCAGCAGCACGGCATGGCACATCTCACCCCGTCCCTGCAGCAGCAGTCAGAACAGCACGCAATCCACAGAGAAATGCAAGGTGCTCAGGCCTGACTGTCAGGGCAAAGCAACAGGTTTTCAGGGTAGAGGGGTCTTACACTGCAAATCTCTGGGCAGGGATGCCTGCAAGCACAACAAGTTGGGCAGTTAGATGGATGTTGGTGATTGTGGGCAGCTGCAGCATCCCCACTTTCCTCTGTCTCCTATGTGGGCAGGCACATCATCCTCAAACCCTCCCACCCACCAGACAATGTAGGGAAGGCTCCGTGGGACACCCTCCCACAATCAGCCATCACCCTGGTCAGCACAGGGTGCCCTGGCAGGGGGACAGGGCTGCTGCCAGCCCTACAGCTTCCCAGCTCTCAGCAAATCCATCTCCACTCATCCCCTTCCACCACCCTGTCCCTGTCCCACCTGCCTTGTGCTCTGGCCCAAAGTCTCATCCTGCCTGATCCCTGCCCTCAATCACTCATGCACTCTATGTGTAAGGAAGGAGACAGCACATTGCCAAATCAGCTATCTCAAAGGGAATCTAGCAACTTTTATTGAGGCCTTGTCACGGAGCCTGGACTGTCACAGGCAGTCCCTGTGACGAGCACGCGGTCCTAAGGCATGGTGACCGTCCGTCCGGCGCTCCTGGCCGCTGTAAAGCGCCTCTTATTCCTCAGACCAGAGAACCTCTCATCCAGCGTCAGGCTGGTCTGCAGGGGAAAGCGAGAGCGAGTCAGTCCCCTGTCTCGTGGCAAAGCACAGCCAAACTTGTAGCAGGGTATTGATTAGAGCCCATCAGTCAGGCTGGTGATCACAGCTGGTTAGTCAATTAAATCACTCAGCACACAGAGACAGGGAGCTCGACAGACTGTGTGTGGCTGGAAAACCTCCAAGCAGCTCCCAGCCCCAAGACAGAGGGCATCCTCGGCAAGAACAGGAGCAAGCAGATGGCATTTGAGCACAAGGCATCAGGTAAAACCAAACTGTCCAGACAAGAAACGCCGGCAATGAAGAAGGTGGAACAGGATTTCTCAGCTGCCCCAGGGCTCTTGGACCATACTTCAGTGTAAAATGTGACACCAAGAAGGGCACCAAAGCAAAGAGCGAGCAAAGCCCAGAAGTGCCACATGTCTCTGAGGAATGGGAAGCATTGACAGTGAAACAGTCCCCTCTGGCCAGGACTACTCATCAGCAGGACCTCCCTGCTCCAAGCAAGCACATGAACAGGCCAAGACAGGCCATGAGAATGGGGAAAACTGGGCTGAGTCTGTAGTTGCTGAACAGTCTTCTCAAGTGCCTTCAGTTTTGTAAGCAACCTGGCCAACACAGCTACGGGACTTTCCTCCCAGGTTGTGTTAGATAAACCCGGCTGGCAGCCCCAGAAACCTGAGTGTGACGTTAACAGCTCAGTGGCAGGGCTGCTGCAGGGAGCCAGGTGCCTCCTGTCCCGTCGACAATCCTCTACCTGGTTGGCCATGGCGCGGAAGTTGAACCTCAGCAGCACCCCCTTGGGCTGGGGCTTGGCCACCCGTGCTGGGGGTCTCTGGCTTCGCAGGAATGGGTGCTTGGATCCAGGCCTGGGGAAAGCACAGAGCTGCTGTCACTCAGGATGCTAAGGCAACACTTCCCATCCTCTGCAAAGCAGCACACTCCACCCGTCCCATGGCGCGTTTGGCCCCTGGCAGAGCCAGGAGAGCAGCTATGCAGGCAGAGTTCCAGCACTGGGGACTGTCACATCCAGGCTATTGAGGGTGCTCTCTGCACCCAGACACGCACAGTGCCCTCACCCACCCTTCTCTCTGCCCCCAGATGGGTGCCAGGTCCTGCAGCTGCCCCTTTCCAGCCTCTGAGCTCCTCTTACACAGCGGGCACAAGGTGTCCCTTTGGGGCACGCTGTTCCTCCCAACACCCCACAACCAGCACAACCAGCCTGCCACTTCTTCCCACAATGGTGCTTCCATTTCTCCTCACTCTGCATAACAAATGAGGGCATGGTAATTACAGATTACCATGTAATTACAGGTAAATACAGGAGATTTTTATCTCCTTCTGATATGCTGGGAAAGGAACCAGACATTATTTGCTAACCATTTTGGATCTGAACCATTCACTGCACACTCATTACAGAAGTGAAGCTGCAATAATGCTAAAAGGATTTGCAATGGCTTTTGTAGGGCTCCCATTCTAACAAATCACCTCATTTACTTACAGGCTGGGCTGGCCCGCCTGGGGATTAACCACAGAAACCGTCAGAATTGCTCCCGGGCTGGGTTTCACTTGCCACCTGCCGAGACAGGGAGATTTATCCAGCTTCAAGCCTGAAAGAGCACTGTCTATTTGCATTGTGCCTTTGTTCACCAATTACCTTCTCATCCTTGGCGGTTTCCCTTCTCCTTGAGAATCCATCTGCTGTAAAATATATTTAAAAGCAATTACTTAAAAGAATTAGCTTTCTGAAACAGTAATTCCTTTTCCAGGATTTTGTTTGGTGTATCTGAAGAGCTCCTTCCTTGTGAGTTGTCAAGAAACTAATTTGGGGTTTCCCAGTGGCACAGTGATGTGTATGGGGTGCCTTTACCTTGCCCTGCCTGTGCTGCTCTATAAACAGCAAGGTTTATTTTTATCACCCTCCCAGGATTTACTTCCCAGCTGCCAGAATACCAAGCTGCATTAAAAACTGCCTGCAAATACTTTCCTACCAATACATGCAGCGTTCAGGTCTTCCACCTCTTCACTTTAGGAAGCAAAGCTACAACTGGGCTGGTAAAATGTGAAGGTTTGTCACTACCAGCAGACTGCAGAGGAAAATCTCAAATACTGA